GGTAAACCTCATCCCACGAGGAATAACGGGGCTGCCGACAAAGGGCTTTGATGTTGGCAGAGGAGCGTCCAGACTAGCACGCTGAGCCAACAAACAGCTGATCAGCTGTTTGTCGGCTCAGCACGGCAGCCATGTAAATTTAAATGAAGCGGCAATTATTTAAATCGCCGCTTCATTTCCCTTTGCCTACAACCCTCATCTACATGGGTCTGTCGATGGAACCATGTAGTCTAGACACAGCCTTAGTGTGCTGCCTGAGATACACCAGATGTTGGATAGGCATGTATAAGACCATTGGATGTTGAAGTTTATGCTGTGAGAGCACACAGAGCAGCTGAGTTATGTCTGCAGGTTCTGCATCTGCAAAGCTACCAGAGAAATCATTGAGAATTTCAGTAGGGAATTGTAGTTAGTATGTGTCCCTCATTGTGCACTTCCAGGACCACATATCTTAATTAAAAATGCAGTTCCACATAGAATGAGTTTAATATAATTTGGTCTTCTCTATGGCATGAGTCCTTGGACAAAGTTAAACACCCTGCAGTATTGTGCATCAAAGTTATAATTACTAGTGTAGTTCTGCTTTCCGTAGTATTCATATGGACATGTTGGTTTTATGTGGTTATGTATATTTTTACTGTGTGTTACTTTATCTGTTTGTTTTTGTGTAGTTGCCAGTAAAATATGCTATTGTTTGATCATCTGAAGTGGGTATGTGAACTATTTGTTAGGAGGCAGATACTCAGTTGGGTACTCCTCTCTCATGGGGTCCCACTCATGTTCCTAATTGGCTCTCTGCTCAGAGTTTTTCACAGGCCACCCTGCCTCTTCGGCAGTCTGTTAGAGTTTCAGCTTCCAGTAGCTCGTACTCTGGCACCCGCCCTTGGCAAACGGGGTAGGAGGACCCGGACCAGCCCTCTCTCATGGGTCCCAGTCCAGGGCCCTAAGGACAGGCACAGACAAGTTCCTGTCCGGTTGACGGGGATTCCTGCCGTAACTCGTCAGCCCGTGGGCCTTACCAGGGAAGCCCCGCCCTGGGCTACTTACTACCCAGCTACAGCTGGGGGAGATCTGCACCCCTCCTGGACATCTCCTCGACCAGACC